ACCAATTAGCACAGCTCAGTTTTGTGAAAAGACTGTCTTTCCAGCAGTAAAATACTTCGTTAAAGATCTTAAAAGGTGGCTTTTGTATTCCTATTTCACTACACTTTCAAATGTTTTGCTGTCAAGTTAAGCAGGGTCTAGCTGCAGAGCTCCAGGCTCGAGCCCACCTCCTCTGTCAGACCACTTTCAGTCCCAAGCTTAAAGACGGAAGTGAATTGCATATGCCAGGAGTGATCATCAGGATATGATAGCATGTAGTCATGCGTTTAAATAAGCCGCATGACTTCAACCAGTAACACCAAAGACAACAACACAACCTTAATATCTCGATATAAAGTTAAGCAGCAATTAACTTGTACTAACCTTTCTTAGTTTGCTAACACTAGCTGTGCAAATGCACAGATTTGTACATTGGTGAAACAAAGCAACCACACCAGCACGCTCAAGACTCTGTTGTTCATTTACATCTAAATGAAAAGGGGCATTCTTTCAAGGACAGCAATGTGCACATCTTGGCCAGAGAAGACAAATGGTTTGACAGAGTCGTGAAAGAAGCCATCTACGTCAAACTGGAATGACCATCTTTAAAGAGAGGAGATGGCCTACGACTCTACTTATCACCCACCAACAGTGCAATTGTAGGATTCCTCCCAAGACAGCTTAACACCCATTCACACCTGGACCCATCCAACCCTAATGACATACATGAGGGTCGGGTGGGTCAACTCAGAGCTCACATGTGACCTTAATAACTCTGAAACTCTGAGCTTTCATGTGACCTCAACGACTCTGTAAGGATTCACACCCACACAGAGTTTGAAGCCTGCGACTCTGCACCAGGCCTTTAGAACTGAAGTCTCTTGGATGAGAGGCGAAACATCATCAAGAAACTCATGCAAGTCAAGTTGCCTATGATATTGCACTTAAGATTGCCATGACCTGGATGACTTAGAATCTTTACCAACATGAAGCTATGCTAATGTTGTACAAAGTAATGTACACAAACTCAGGAAGTTGGTATCTAAGTTATTGCTGCTTAAAATGTTACATTATTAAACGGTAACTTTATGAGTAAAGTACTTACAGTTACATCAAAATATTAAGGGTGTATTGTTTACCTTGGTGTTATTGCTGGAGGTCCTGTAACTGAGGTTATGTAACATCTCAGTTAACTCTTTATGCTCTGTAGCTAAAATACAATGGAATCTAAACATATAGTAATACATTTGTTTGTATTAGCATGACAAACACCCAAGTCACCTTATTACAGGCCAAACATACATCATCGTGACATGGAAATAATACAATGTATTAAATATATGCTCAGTAGGCTACTTTATTTATTAACAATAAGTGTAAAGGATTACACTATGCAATATAATGCAGTGGCATGTAAACATTAATTATTAATAAGGAAGTGCAATAATGCCACATGATTTTCTACTCCGAGTGTCGGAGGTGAACCCATCATTACACACCTAATCCAGTGGTAAGAGAAACCTCAAACTGAACTATTCATCTCTGTTAACTGCAGCAGCTTTAGAAGAAAAACTACATGCTGTGGTTTATCACATAAAAAGACTGCATGAACCTTATTGCAGCATGCCTTTGAAGTTTTGCTTGGCTTGGTAATTCTGATTGACTGCAGCTAAGATGGTCAAATTCTATAATTTCTAAACATGAGCCCACATTAATGATGTTTATACTGTTCTGCTATTACATCGGAATAAAGCACAGTGGTCCAAAAATGACAGTTAGGGACCACTTTAACAATACATGTGTATATTAATATAATAAATTAATGTAGAATTAAGCAAGTGATTTATACATACTTCAACTGTGGTTCAAATGTCACAACTCAGTAGCAGTGTTTAGCTTTGTCTAGATACTTCTTTCTGAATCTCATAAGCATACATATATATGCCTTTTTGACACCTCAGGTCATCTCATCAAAGGACTATAAAGCCATTGCCTTAAGAGGCAGATTCAATTTTAACTTTGTGTCAGACAGCTTGTGGCCAAGGAGAAGCAGGCGAATCAGGACAATTGTTCTGCCCAGACAGTCACCCCTGTGTTTAGATGAAAGCTGCCATCACCATTTTGTGTCTGATGGGAGACACCTACTGCCACCCTGGGGTGACACACACATGCACTGTGGGGCTGTGGGTAAAGACATTGAAGGTTGTCTAGACAGGACTGGGATTCCTGTGCAAATTCTCAGCTGAAGGTAGGACATAACAAGTCATTTAATAAATTGCTGTGTGTATCTAATAAAGAGCTAACCCTCTTCCAGGACACAGATGAAGGTTCACAGCCAAAAACAAGCACAAACAAAGGACCCAAATTCCACCTCAAACATCAGCTAACTGCTTCCACACAAGACTAAGACTAAAATGTCTTCCATTGTAAACCCTGGACTATCTGCGCTGTCAAGGCAATCTCTCACACATGCTCACTTTGCATCAGGTGACAACTTTTGGCGGCATGACACAAATTCCTGGTGGTGAGCTGTCCCCCTCTCTGCACAGCCTGCCACTGTTTTAACCTCCTGTTTTAACACCTCCCCTCAAAAAGACACTTGCATGTTAGTAACAATAAAGCCAGCTTTGATATAGCACAATAACTGATTACAACCCAGCATGCATGCTTGCACACATAAACACACATGCAAACATGCGCAGAAACTCTTCTCAGGCCATTTCTCCTGCAGATGACAGGCAGGCGTTTGGAGCATGATCCCTCCCTATTTTGTGGTTGGCTGCACAGAGCAGCGCAGCGACTTGGCAAGTCATAAAGATGTCAGCCAAACGCTTAGACTCCTAATCAGGTCATCAGTGGAGGCTTGTAAGAGCTGATGGCTACAGACACACTGCTGTTTTCATCACTATTCTTCCGGTTGCAGCGCTGACTTTGTGTTTCAGACTGGAACACCATATTTGTCAGACTGTGGGGTACACACTCCCAGACACCCTGCTAATGCAGATTCTGTGCAGCAATAAAAAACACAATTTGAAATGTAGATTTGTGTTAGCTGAAGTGCTGTCCTCACTTGGCAGAGCTGGGGGAAAACTGAGGGAACAAATACTGCTCACAGCTCTGACACTCACTGAGAGTCAAATTCAGGTCACTTTCTGTTTATTGAAATTTGGGGCCTCAGATTGTAAAGTTTAGGGGTAAGACATGAGTACATATCTGACTTCACAGAGACCTGATTCTTACTTGAGATCTTGTCAACATAAAAAAATGTGCAATCATTCTAGATATAAAAATCTCTACCTCAGCTTTACTCCTCATGATTATTGATCCATGAATGGCACTACAGCCAGAGTGTATTTATCTCAACAATGCTAAACCTGCCTTAAGCAGTTTGGGAGCATTGAAGGGCAGGCAGAGTCTATATCAACCTTACAGCAGCAGAGCCTTATCATAGTTTGACTGCCAAAGGTTAATGTGATGTCAAATAACTGCCTACTCTCTGTATACATCCATCGGACAAAGACCAACATGGACAGCCATTTAGAGCTCTCTTACTTGCCATTTGCACAAATCTGAGTCTGATATTTTGTCAAATTTCAGTCCTGCTTTGGTTCAGAATACTGCCACACACTTTACTCCCTTTACATTTATCCTGGCTCCAACATAATTATGTGTGTGAACTACGGTTGAGCAAACGGACAACAATTTTTTTTTTTTTTTTCAATTTTCAATTTTATTTTGAAAATTAATGGTTTGCCTCTGTAGAATGAGTAAGGAATGCTGCTCATTGGGCAGAGAGAAACAGCAGGGAAAAATAGAAAAAAAGGATTGTAAAACCACCATATTTTCAGATCTTATCGGAACTAATTGTTTACCTTATCCCAATGAGACATTGAATATTTGGGGGGTTAAGGTGGTGGTTGTTGGGTTGACCGTGGCCAGTTTGAAAATTTTAACATATTGCCCAACCCTAGTGTGCCCTAGTATGAACTCAGTTGCTAGGGGTAGCCGCATATAGGTTTATAAGTGGGCACTACTGGGAGTCAACCAAACTGACTGGTGAATCCAAACAATGAACTGAAAGCAGCTAAATTCTGCAAGGAACTGCAGAGCTGGATAATTAATGTTATTATTCAAATCAATGTATGTATCAAAAGTATTGCTGTAAATAAGTTCTAGGCTACTCATTTACATAAGTTGTCATAGATCATTAAGGTCTGGGGAAACTGTAGCAACACTGGCATTTCATTTATTGTAGGTTTTGAAAATAATGTGCAAAATTCCACATTTTTTCTTACTTACTTGCTCTTAGTTTTAATCAATGCAAATTCTGTGTTTAATAAATGGTTTGCAAAAATTAAATTTCTTTGTGTTTTAACAACACGCTATTCTTCATTATCTCATCGTCTTCTGCACTGGTGAGTCAGCATGATTGAAGGACTAGGAGGTAGCTAAGACACTGAAAAAAGACAATGAGTGTGGAGAGGAAGGAGAGAGGGGCCATGGGAAATAAGCATATCAAGGTGGAAGAAAAAGCCAGAAGATGTTAGACATGAAGACATTTTACAAAACAATTTGTACTAGGACATTCACCACTGGCCTCGATGCATAACAGTGGTTCATATTCTACTGATTTTTCCTCATACATAGAGACATGGCAAGGTTGTCGCCTGTCTCCATTTCTTTTTATTGCCAATTAATCCTCTGCAGTTGCTTAAAGGTTCAAGGACAGGATCCAGGGTACAATCTGGTAGGACTTAATCACAAAAATTATTTATATGCTGATGATGTCTACATTTATATGGACAGAAGGGGGACTGATATAGATTTTCATGTCTGTGCGTTATGTGTAATATGAAAACCAATCTCTGAGATCCTACGTAAAACAGAGACATGCAGGGAAAAAAGAGACACATATATCCAGTAGAAATAGGAAAGCAACATTGCAGATGTGAACAAACTAAGCAAGTAGTTAGATAGAAGCTACAGGTTTTGGGGGGAAAAGTGAGGTAGAAGAGCGTTACCTGTCCTCCTTTGGGCTGATACTTGATATTCTCTGTGGAGCCGATCTTAGACTTGATGTTCTTGAAGTCAGGCAGTGGCTGGTTGATGATGCGGAGCTGCTTGGGCGTGGTTGCAGGTGATTTGGGTGGGGTGCGAATAACGGCCACCTTCCTCTCCTGGGAAATCAAGCTAAGGGAGCGTGGGGTTCCAGGGGTTCTTGAGGACGATGAGTAGCTGGGAGGGGTTCCTGGGGTGATGGCGGTGGAGCCAGGGGTGCGGGGAGTAGAGTGGCCACTGCGAGCCGAACGGGAGCGCATTGATTCTGTAACTGTGGGGAGGAATATAAGGATGAAGGTTATAGATGAAAGTCAAGAAGTGCTGTATTATAAATAACATACTTTTCTAAATGATTAAACTACCATTACCTGTACTAAGTAGGTCTAAAACACTATATATCTGCAGGGTTGATAGGGTTGTTGGTCAGTATGAAATAGAGGTGGGCAATATATCGGTTATACTCAATGTATCGCGGCTTGTTCCACTGGGGATGAATAAAATTACCATATTGAGAACATTAAGTATAAATTAATGTTTTTATTTTCGAATCTGCGGGGCTCTAGACAACAACTCTTTAGTCACATTTTGTGACCATGGAGCACCACTGCAACTTGTGAAAATGTATTAATGTATAAACTGGAGAGCTGTTAGTTTGTTTCCAGCTCACAATGGATCAGTCTTCAAGCGTAACTGCACTGCGGCAATGGTTTAACTTTAAACTAACTGCTAAGAACAATTGTTGACCAGAAACTTCAAGTTAACAGCAAAAACCAACAAAAACATTTAACTTTATTATATAACAGTAGCTACACTATTAACTTTATTGTAACTGTAGTTTATTCAGTAGTTTAGTGACTTAGTAGTCTGGAGCTATTTAAAGGATATTTCAAAATATCAAGATATATATCATGTATCTTGATATGGCCTTATCACAATATTAATTATAGCCCATATTGCTAAGTGCTAGAATGGAAGAGTAAATCATGACTTCATGAGACTCTAAGATTTTAGGATTTTAAAAGTCACTTTTCAGACCACCAAATATACAGTATTCCTTCTTTCTTTTTCATACAGTATTTCATGACACTAAAACAAAGATTTGACATAGTTTATTGACAACTGAATTCCATTAACAAAAGAAATACTGCCCTACTAAAATCTTGTATCCTTATACACAAAGTTACTAGTACATTAAGTTAACCTTGTACAATTTAATGTAATCCAATACAGCTGTCATAGTGACAGAAGTATAAAGAATCCCATTTACCTGTCATGCTAGGTGCTCGTCCTGTCCTATGCTCTGCCCTCATCTCTGGGCGAAACGCTACAGGACGCAAAAGACGAAAAGCTTTAGTATGGGGAGTCAGAAAGAGAGACAAAGGTAGAATCAAGGGTTCTTGGATGTAAACAACAATTTCTTTTTACCTGGATCTGTGCTAAAGGCAAGTTGTAAATAGAACATCAAAAACATGTTGATGTATATAATCTATAGCTACAGAGTTGGTGAAAGAGAACTGAAGTGAGATGGCGATTACAGCATACAGTATCTTACCGAGTGCTAGAAAAAATCTACATACATAATACATAAAACCTCAGAGGCCACAACCAAAACGGCTGCATGTAAGCTTGACTGTGTTTTATAAATCGCCATCACTATGGAACTGGGCGCACATTCACCTGTCTCATTTCTGCTCCCACAGTTAGCCATAAATGAACGTAGAAACGCCCTTAAATATCAGTTTGCATATCAACACTTGTGCCTGCTCCACCACTCAGTAACCTCGTCAATGAGAAATATCCAAAGAAAACACAATTTCACTGACTGTGTTGGGTTGGTGAGGTTCTCCAACAGCACCGCAACAGCTGTCATTTTGCACAGCTGGGGCTATTTTTACAGCCCGTACCACTAATTCATCAAGTTTCTGCAAATCATAATTGTGGGTAGATCTCAATAATCATTATCATTACATGTCACAAGGATGATCAGTGATTCATTCATGGCGCTCAAGTTGAAACTGACTTTACAATGAGCTACACAATCCAGGATAAAATTAAACACCCATTGACAGGGAGATGATGGCTCTGTGTGAAGAGAAGGAATGATGAAATTCATCACACAAATCATTTAAAATTGAGTTAATTAATGCGACTTTGACATAATGCAGAACACTGTGTAACCTGCAAAAATAACAACGCCATCAGAGAACAATGTTACCCATCTCTCAACATTTATTAAATCTCTTCCTGATCATATCATCTACAGCTACCACAGCTTAAACCATGTATACGCCTGGTCTGAAATATGCGAGAGGTGCGCATATTTTCACTGCACATTCTTCCTTTATAAATACAAGTTTATGTGTAGGAAAAGGCATACACGTGGTTCGTGTGCATACACATTGTTTATGTATCTGGCCCCTGGAATATGTTTTAGCTTCTCAGAAAGACAGATGATAGAAACCCATTGATCTACAGAAGCTGTACGAACAGAGATTAGCAAGGGAATTAGGCAGGACTTGAACTCTCTTTAGTGAGCTTCAAGAAATTAATAATCAATTATCAGCACTGGTTCAGTATTTGCCTTTATATTGGCATAATTAGTTCATTGTGGCTCATACTGGAGGCTGATAGAGCTTGATGTTGGTTAACTCTAATACCACTTAAATACAGATACTTTGTGAAGTAAGTTGATTAGTGAAGCTGCAGCCTACATGTGGGTCTGCGAGGAGCCGTGGAGCCGGAGCTGGTGATGGAAGTGGAGCTCTCCTCGTGGTCATGGTATGGGCGGCGACTCAGAATGGAGCCATGCCGCGGCACAGAGGACCTCTTCTCAGGGCTCCATGACCCACCGTCCTGTTGGGAAACAAACACCAGAGACAAGAAGTAGATGCTTAGGCCGGTGAGGCTGTGACTTATTTTCAGTACAAGGTGACAGGTCAATGTATATGTTAATGTTCTTTCTGGAACTCCTGCAGCTACAGTGCCACCATTCACCTACCTTGGCTATGAGTCTCTGTAATACTGGAGAGCCTTGAGGCTCTGCTGAGGACAGGCGAGGTCTATCTAATGAGGCAGCTGCTCTGGATATGGAGGTGGGGATCTTTGTTAGTGGCAAACGATGGGCATGGCACTGAGATGGTACAACGATGAGCCCCGGTGGGTGAGTAGCATGGTACCAAAATAAAGGACACAGGGTGACAAAAGAGTGGTGAAAATAACAGTGCTTCAACATGCATTATCAGTGCGCAAGATCTCATGCATCCTTTGTGGGATGAGGGATGAGATATCAGCATCAGATCTTGTGTGTTTACATTTAATGATCCATCACAACAGCCACCCATGCACATTCATTGTGAGCATATCAGTTTATGACATCAAAATGCCAAACAAAAAAACAAGGCTTTGAAGAATATTGTTCACCATGCTTGCGATGCTTGCGCAAGATTTCATGTTACACTGTGAGACTGCATGGCAACAGATGTACCAGGAGACTGTAAATAGAATGTGTATATCAAAAGTGAAATATAATGTGGGCTCGGAGTGACAGAGCACACTTACAGTGTACTGTTATGACATGACATTTAAGAAATGCAGAAACTGTGTTATTTTAGACACAATAACTGTCATTACCATGGTGGAGGAGTAAAATGGAGTCACGACCACAGCCGCTGGAGAAATGTCACGGGGTGATTCGACACCCACTCAGTTAAAAAAAAAGGGCTCTAAATGGATCTGCCTTTTCTACTTGTGCAAAAACCCATTAAACGCAGCAACAATAGCAAACATTTTAGAAAACGCTGAAGCAACCAACATAAATAGTTTTTCATAAAATACAAAGAGAAAATGAACAGTGGTGTTCATACAGAAATGAAATGCACTGTTATTCATGCAGGGGTTAGCGCTCAGATAGACAGAGGGGAGACAGCACTTGCTTTAACTGTATGTAATGTGTTTATCTGAATAAGTGATTAGTTTGCTCTGGAGAAAATATGTCACAGCTTTTTAATAAGCCTCAATTCTAATGACAATTATACTGCCTAATTAATGTGCTGTTTGTTGTTTCAATGTCTGCGCTAAAGATGCAAGAGGCAACCTGTGTATTAGTTTCATATTAGCAGCAAGAGGCAAAGATTTGAAACCTGTTTTATTATGCACCAACTGCATACTGTAATACAGTGTCAGCAAACTGTGAACAGCATGCTCATATTTACCAACCTCTCTGCTCTAAAGCTCTTTCTACCAAAGGACAACAAAAAGATGATTGACAGCAGATCTAACACTGGAGAATCCAGATTTCAGGAGAAGAGGGAATCAGTTGCTGCTGTTTGGGAGAAAGTTTTGGTTTCTTGCGTCAGTGTCAGTTTGTCTTGATTGACGTTTATTTGATTGCTGCACTGCAAACCTACTTGGTGATTCAGGCTGTCTGCCAGTAAAGCTTTGATATGGTATTTCTCTGAGTGGTTTGGGAGCCAGAGGTCACGCCATTGTTGGGCTGATGGAGTGTACTCACCGATGCTCTGTCGCGGGACTGTCTGGCAACACTGAGAGGCTGACGACTGTCTGGTAGCCCCTCTGAGAGAGAGAGACAGAAACAGAATTACAGGAATATTCAAACACACAGACAGATACATGATTTGACCTTCTTACACTGATGGGGAAGAAGTGAGAACTTTTTTTAAACGTCCTACTTTGAAGGATTATCATCATATTTGTATCCTTGTGAGCATGTTTGGTTCTCAGAAGAAATCAAATCAAAAATACAAGTTTGTATTCCCAAACCTGGCAGGGTGAGCTATATGAAAAATCGAATGTTCTTTGGGAGAGGGTTGCTGCCCCCTTGAGAGCTCTGTTTGATTTGGCAAGATATCACATAGAATGGGGGATTTTGTATTATGTAAGGCAACCCTGGAAAATAATCTAATTGGGGCAATGCAGCAGTATACTGAGCTTTCATCATCAGTGACACAGAATTCAGTCCGTCGGGGGAAAATGAAGTGCAAAGTGCCTCTGGGACAGTCTTTATAGTATCAGGTCCATAGAACAAAACCATGGATTACTAGTTGCCTGGCAACCATAGGTTTAAAAGAGCTTGAGTGGATACATAAGTCGTAAAAAGACAAGAGAGGTCAGGAACATTTTGAAGGTTCTTCTACACCAGACAACTTGCCCTTCATTATCAGACGACTTTTAATTCACATGGAATAATTATATAAAATATCAGGTTATAAACAAATCATTAGACAACAAACAAATCACTGTGCACACAAAAAGTGTTGGTCAGAAATGGTTACTGCAATAAAAGGATGCATTAAAGAGTACCTTAACACCAGCTGAAAATCTTGTTTTGCTGACCTTGCAGTAATGATGAAGTGTATCTGGAAAGTGTTCAATGAATCCTGAACTCACAACCTTCCAATGTCAGTGCTTTCAGCTCAGTGTTATGTTGCTCTTCAAAGAACAAAGAAAGGATGCTCACAAAAATAAATGAAACCAAATGGAACATGAATGGCAGTCTGTTTTTTATTGTAATCAAAATCAAAGAAACACATGACAAAAGCAAACCACTGTAATCAATGAAACAAAATGGATGCTGAAACCAACTGAAGCAGGCAGTGGAGGTACCAGTCGTGTAAGAGACCAGGGCAATGTGTCACCTGTGGTTCTCCTTCTGGGACAGGAGTGGTGCTGAGTGGGGCGGGTCTGCCGGACGGCTGGTTTTACCACACTCCTCTTGGACGGAGATTGACTCTGAGTCTCCATTTTTTTGGTAAGGTCGGCTTTCCTTATCACAGCTACCAGAGGAAACAGGGCCATTGACAAAGGCAGAGACACAACAATAAGCAGAGACAGACGTTGAGCCATGTTAAATTAGGGAATGCTGCAGGATATAAACTCCCCAGACACCCTTTTTAGTTGTTGCATTTGTTGAACTATACTCAAAACAGCTGACTCAAATGACTGTGTCAGTGAATTATTATGAAACTGCATGTTTTGACACAAATAGCTGTATAGGTAGGCGATAAATCACAAGCCACTGTGTTTTCAGTGAATTTAGAACAGCAGAGCCCCAGTTTGGGCACATGATGATGCCGAGCCTGTGCCTTAAATGGTTTTACTCAAAGGACAGGACAAGGAAAAGTAATATATACCCAGGTTAGATATGTGATAAGGTTATAATCTACAACTACAATGTCTATAAATACCTCCTACTTCAACTCTGATAATAGTTCAAGAAATCATGAGAACCTTTTTTCTTCTTGACTTCCTCTCTGGGGATGTAGACAGGTTCTTTGCGGACAGGTTTGCGCTCTGGTGTGGAGATTCTGCCTTTAGGCCGCCCTCCCTTGGCCTTTGATTTGACTGGCTTCTCCTGTTTCTCCGTCTTCTTCGGTTGCGTCTGCTTGTTCTGGACTACGCCAGGCTTTTTGACTGGGCTGAGCACCTTGGGCAAAGGCTCAATCTGCTCTGTCGCCATACTCTTATCATCATCTGCAGTGAGGCGAAACAGGACATGAAAAACACAAGACAGTATTATTTTTTTAGTACAACGTGTTTATTTGAAACAGTAGATGATAGAAAAGGGAAGAACAATAGCTGGTTTTCTATAAAATTGTCAAGGGAATTTTAAGCAAACTTTTAAAATGTTGAGACAAAAAAAGAAATGCGATTTAGACATGTTTCCATCAACTGGTTTGGAGCAAATAAACTAGGCACCGCAAAGCGTGGTTTCATCAGAATTTGGTGGTATAGGCTAATTTACACATGACTGTAATCAGCCAGTTAAGCTAAGAAAGACTTTATTGTCCCAAAGGAAATTTGTCTTGGATACATGTGGCACCTGCTGTTTAAAGATAGAAAAAAGTTTATACATACACTTCCTACGTATACACAGTCCATACAGAGCTGTCGCTATTAACAATCCCACACACCCAGTACCTACAGTACATGTACAGACTGCCATCAGCCAACAAATTGTACCCTGCCCATTGCACAACACATCTGCTTTACATAGTCATCAGAGTTTCAGGGGTTGATTTCAATTGGGCAAGTTTTAATTGTTACTGCAGGTCAGTTAGTATTGGCCGTATTTCATGCTGTCCAGAGACGACGAAGTCAGTCATATGAGTTATATGTTCAGAACTTATTTGGCACAGGCATTTCCATATCCATTTTATTGTATCACCAAACAAACAAAGGCAAAAAGCACTTCAGGTGAGCATAACAGCTTTTATGCGGAATTACTTCATCTCTTCTCTGTTTGTACTAATAGTATCTCCTGTAGCCGTGAAGGAATGGCACTTTTTAAGTACGCAGATGACATGGCCCTGGTGTCTAACCTGACTGGCAACAATGCTTTGTACCAATACTAGCAGACAGTCAGCTACGTGGTCCAAAAAAATTGGTGATAGCTCACTTGAGCTCAACATCACAAAGACCTGTGCTGAGATGTGCTGTGGGGGCAGAGAGAAATCACTATGATCATCACCTCTTTTTCCATCCACTCAGTATTCAGGGTCACCTGGTAGAGCAGGTTCCGTCTTCACAGAGATAGACACCTGTCTTTCATCTTCACAGTACACTGACTCTGTGTACAAAAAAGCTCAACAGCACCTCCACCTGCTGAGGAAACTCAGTGCTTTTCATGTCAGCAAGGACATTTTAACTCTGGTTTACCGTTCCCTCGTTGAAACCATTCTCACCTTCAATATTTCATCCTGTTATCACTCACTCTATCACTCCTCTATCTGAACTGGTCAGGAAAGCCACCCTGATCACTGAGGACCCTTCTCACCCTCTCCACCACTCCTTCCAGTTACTGCCATCAGGCAGATGCTACAAAGTCCCACTGGCCCTGAAAAACATCTACAAGAAATCCTTTATTCCCTCTGCAATAACCACCCTGAACAATCTAAAAAAGACACTTTAACCTGCTTTTATCAGTCGCAATTTTAACAGTCCTTTTTTTAAATTTGTTTTGCAGATAACCACAGTCTGTAAAACATCCTATTAGCGTGATCAATTGGTCAAACTAATAATAAATTTATGGAAACATGGCTACAATAAAGGAACAAACCATCAAAGATAGCTCACCTTGTGTGTCGACCCAGGAGCTGTCAAGGATGGAGTCGTCCATTGTGGTTTCATCTCTATCGTAGCTTTCTGTCTGTCCTTCAGTTTCTATGGTTTGAGCCTCCTTCTCAGGGGTGGCAGGGGCCTCAGGAACCTCACCCACCTCTTCTAGACTTGCAGCCTCAATGTCTGCTTCTTGGGCTAACTCTACAGACTCCTCCTCGTCCTCTTCTTCCTCTTTCTGGGCAGCAACACAAAGGGCCTCAGCCTCAGGTGGAGCAGAGAAACGAACACTGTGTCCAGGCTCATCTGCTTCATCGATGGTCTGGACCACAGTGATAAAATCATCTTCGACCGTCACCACTGATTCGATGGCAGCGCGAGTCTCTGGGATCTCCTTTACCATCGCTGCTCCTGCCACTGCTTTCTCTAACACATCCTCCTCACCTTCCTCTTGCCCCTTCTCAGCCTCTGCAGGTTTGTCTGCCTCTTTCTCCACAGTCTCCGTGGCTGCTTTCTCCTCTGCAACCTTCTTCTCCATCTCTGCCACTTTCTCCCTCTCCTCCTTCTCTTTCAGCTCCTTTTCTATCTTCTCTTTCTCCTCCTTTTCTTTGAGTTCCTTCTCTAGCTTTTCTTTCTCTTCCTTCTCTCTCAGCTCTTTCTCTATCCTTTCCTTTTCCTCTCTTTCTTTCTTCTCTTTCTCCTCTTTCTCTTTCCTTTCTCTTTCCTCTTGCTCCAACTTTTCCCTCTCTTCCCTTTCCTTCTTCTCTCTTTCTTCTTTCTCCTTCCTCTCTCTCTCCTCTTTCTCCTTTTCTTTCATCTCCTGTTCTTTCTGTTCTTTCTCCTTCCTTTCTTTTTCTTCCCTCAGTATTCTCTCAGCCTCTTCTTTCTCTTTCTCTTCTTTCTCCCTCTTTTCCCTCTCTTCTTTCTCTTTCTCTTCTTTCTCCCTCTTTTCCCTCTCTTCTTTCTCTTTCAATTCCTTTTCCTTCTTTTCTGCCTCTTCCCTGATTTTCCTCTCTGCCTCTTCTTTCTCTTCTTTCATTTTCTTTTCCTCTGCTTCCCTCATTTTTCTTTCTGACTCCTCTTTCTCTTTGTTTATTCCTAACACTGGTGAAGGTGTTCTTTTGGGGGAACCATACATTTCTCTTTGTTTAAGTTTAGAAGGTGAGAGTACCGGGGAGAGCAGCTTGTCATCATCTATGTTGCTGTCCACAGATGAAGCAGGTGACGTTTTGACTGGCCTGGCAATCCGGTCCTTGGCCACACCGGTCAGCTGGTACACATCTTCGGCATCCACTTCCTCATAGGCCTCCTGGTGGACCAGCTTCACTTTCTCCCGCAGCTCCTGCAGCTCTCTTTCCTCCTCCAAACTCAGAGGCCTGTCCTCCATCTCCAATTTGCGGATCTGCCTCTCATAGTCAGCGATCTCGGTTTCTGACGCCGAGCCTTCGCCACTGGCTTGTCGTTCAGTCTCACTTTCTGTCCTTCCGCCTTCTTCTAGAGTTACGGTCACCGTTGGTGTCACAAAGGAATCACACGGTTGAGCAATTGGCGTCTCACTTACAGATTTTTTGGACTCTTCATCTGCAACCTCCTTGCTCTTTTCTTCAGCAGAATCTTTTGTCTCTTCTTGCTTCTGGTCTGTCTCCTCTGTGACATCAGCACCTCCTGATGGCTGGCTCTTGTCCTCCACAGATGTGTCTCTGACTGCTAATTTCCTAGCTTGCTCAGCCACTTTTTCCTCCAGGACGGAGGGGGTGAAGGCCTGTGCAGAAGCATTTGTAGGGCTGAATACATCTGCAGGTGATGGCATGGGCCCTGAATATTCACTGAACACACAATAGCCCATCTCTTCCAGCTGGCTATCACTCTTTCTGGCCCCGGGGCTTTGTTCCCCTGAAACTAAGCTAGCCAGTGGGTCATCAGCAAAGAGTGGGGCATCAGCTTGTATTGACTTTCTCCGTGTGATTTCTGGGTCAGTGTTTTCTGATGCCAGCCTGGAGCGGGTACCAGCAAGGTCCAGCATCTCAGGCAAGTCTTGTGCCATCACTGTGCCATTCTTATACGCGCTCTTAGGGGGCTGTGGTGATTCTGGCGACTCCGATTCAGGGCTGGGTTTTGAAACTGGTTCTGTGGTCCTTGGGGGAGATGAGGAATCTGAAGTTATGGAAGCTGCAGTCTCCAGGATCAAGGGAGGCAACAATGGAGGCTTGTCCACAGAGGGCGTAGTGACTGGGAGGTAGTCTGCTGAATCGTCTAGACTTCCACTAGTGTATGACATGATATCTGTGGCCAGCGGGGAGAAGTTCCTTGGTTTCCCTTGGCCACTCGGATCCACTGCCCCAATGGTGATGTTAAGTGAGTAACTCCTCTGCTCTAAGGCCAATTTACCCGGGGAAAGCCGGCATTCATTACTCCTGTCAGGAACTGTGAACACTCTAGTGTCCTCTGCTGTACTTTCTTTAGTTTCGGGTTTATCCTGAGCTTCAGCGAGTGTGCTGTAGCTGATCTCCTCAGGCCTGCCATCAGCCGGACTCTTCTCTTCACCAGATCTGCTCAGTTCGTAATAACCCTCACCTTTAGATTGCGGCGCCTCATCAACATCCATGGCTGATGTTTCAAAATATGCTGACATGCCAGATCTGTCTCTAGCATCCCTTGGTGATTCTCCTCCTTGAACTTTGTCTCCCAGTGATGAGAAATCAGAGGGAGAACCTATGCTGCTGATCTCTACCACCTCCACTGATGGCTGTTTCTCTGACACTGTAATAGGCTCGCCATATGTAGGCTGGAGTGTGAGTGATCTGACACATTCTTTGGCTTGGTTTTGAACATTCGGAGGTACAAAGGATGGCATATCCATGGTGGGGCTCTCTGGTACAACTCGTTCACCAGCAAAGAACCCTTGCATCTGGGGCTCAAAAAACTCCTCCGGGCGTTTCTCCGATCCGATGCTGTCTGGGCTCATGGAACCACTTTTCTCGCTGCCCTGCTTGTCTGAATCCATCTTCAAAGCTGAAAGGACATCTGTAAGTTGGCTGTTTTGATCAACATAGAAAAGTAATGCTTTGGCATGCTTCGAGTGAGATATTTATTAAGCTGGGGACTGGGAAAGCTGTTATCACAGGAACAGGCAAAGCTCTCCTCAGAAACTTACAGCACAATGACACGGCCATCACTGAAGAGGTACGGCGAGATTATGGGGCCCACCAAGTCACAGATGGATGACAATATGAGATGGTATGTGACGGAACCGGCGTGAGGCAACTGTGATGCTGACTTATGGGAAACAAGCAATAATAGATGGGATGGATATCCATGCGACTCTTCAGAACAATCAGATACAAAAAAGATTAGCATTTCTGTCATTCTTTGTCTTCTTAAGTATGATGAAATCTTATGAGAATTTCACCAGTTGAGATCTATAACAGTTTTATCAACATCAAATGAATTTTGGCTCTCAATAATGATATTCAGAGAACGCTGGCACAAATAAAGAAGAACCTTGCTGGTGAATGACAGAAAAATGCCATACACTGTCACTTAGAGTGACGATGAAAAGATAAAAAAAAGATTGGAATTTTATTGACACGACAATGCATTTGATGAGACAGTTATACCACACTTAACATGAGACAGCCAACACAAAATTCCCTGAAAATTAAGCACACAGAATCATGGTAATAATATGAGTGACCCATGTTTAGTAAGTATGATTCATGGTTACAAACAGTGCATAGCACTGGCATATCAGCACCAAGCCACGGGTAAACACAACGAGAAACCTGTAAGCTTATAGCCGGTGAAAAAAAAGCACTGTTACGATCAGCAACACTTCACTTCATCATACCAATACGAAACAGCCGGCCCTGAAAACCACAGCAGGAAAAAGAAAATACAAGCGCAAGAATAGCACACAATAAAACCAGGTTAAGTTAAAAGAACATGATTCTTTTCACCAACAAGCCTGTGTTGCCTTGCAGCCACAGCAGAGCGCAGGGAGGATTACTTGGCATTCCACCTGAATTGTAATGCTTATGTTATGTGCTTATGGGTTCCTTTTGACACATCTGTCATTCTTATACAGTGGACAATGCAGTAACATGCAGGCAAGGAGAGCAGAGGGCAGGACACACCTGTGTCAGAGCTCTCCCCACCCTCTGCTTCCTCCTCCTCTCTGTCCAAAGAGCTTTCTGCAGCAGCACTAGCTGCTTCGTCTGGCTCCAGGTCTAGATCCTGGGCCTCGTCTATGGCCTCTGCCTGCTCTAAGGGCTCAGCTTGGGGGCTGTCCAGCTCGGGCTCTTCCCCGCTCCACTGCTGCTCATCAAGAGCTGCCTCGGACTCTGCTGCCTCTGCACTCTCCTCCTCCTCCTCCTCCTCCTCTTCCACCTCCTCCTCGTAATCAGCTGTAAGAGCCTCCATGGTCTCTTCTTCTCAAAAACAGGATGAGAGGGGGACACATTAAGACTACAGGCAACACAGACTTGGGTTATGTGTGAACACAACTTATGATGGGACACTTTCAGCTCAGGGAAAAGATGACCTAAAGTGTATGTCTATTCACACAAATAGGTACATTACACATAAAGTACAGAGTGTTGTGTATGGGTGGTTTTTGTTTTCATTCTGTTTGTATGCATTTCTACTTTGGGTGCTAAATGTAACCAGTATGCAAGAAAACTATTGGTTATAGGCATGCATGAGATTTTTTTCTCAATATCTATCTTTTTTCTTGCCATAATCAAGAACCAGTTTTATAATATATATATATATATATATATATATAACCATTTCCACTTCCCTCTTTCTCTTGCACACATCTTGCCTTCAACCCAGACTGACCTACCATCTTTAATAACTGAGGCTGTTTAAGGAAAATGGAAAAATAAATGAAGAACACTTCATGGCCTGACATTGCACTACTGGAGAAGCCCTTCAGGTCAGAGCACTTATGAAATCACTCGCTATTTAGAAGAGACAACCTTGAAGAGCTGCAGTCCGGTACAGTAAAAAGCAGAGCTCCTTAGATTCACGACACTGCACAGACTGGATTTTTAACTGTGTAATGGTCAACATGGGGGTGTGCAGCTTTGGTCGTCAGCAGCCATTGCTGTATAACATTTAGAGTTCTTGTGTAGGTTACACAAATTATATTTCATGTATTTGCAGCCAAATGTTGCTGCATATGACATAGAGCTAACTGGACAATGATGGGTTGGGGGAGGCTGGGGGAGTTAAGAATCAGTCTGCATTAACACTATTTATACAACTTATACCACAGTCAATTACATACTCTTTACATTCTTTGCCTTGTGTTTATTGAATGGATGGATACATTTAAAAAACAGATGGATAGATGTAGCCATTTAGATACTGACCAATACTTTCTATCTCAGCCTCATCAATGTTATGAATTGTGCACAATATGCTGCTCTGGCGAAATGTACCAGAGGAGTTAAAATCAATTAGGGTATGCTTTGGGAGAAGGCAGAGCTTTAAATAAAGTCCGTTGTTGAAGCTGCCCGGATAACGTATAAGATAACGTAAAAGGCTATGTTGTGTGTTTGTACAGCTTAAGTGTTAATACACTGAGGTCCTAGGTTCCCTGTTGTAAAGACAGTCAACATGTTTGCAGGTGGAAGTGTTTGAAAATGTGTGTGGAGCTGAAAGTCTTCCTTGTTGCCACAGTGAGTGTGTGAGAGGAGCATAGGATGAGAGTAGTGGGTTTGACATGGTACAGCATAATTAAGGGGGTGAGGGGTCATCTTGACAAATGAACCAAAACACAACTCTGGGAGATGATTGGTGTAAAGGAATCTGTGCATGGAGGTCATCAATCATGCTCCGCATAACTGACAGATTCACGAAAGCCATTTGGACCTTACTTTATGTCCCAAAAGTAAAACCTTGGTGGCCATGTGATCTTGCTGATGAGAGCTGTCGTGTATTATGTCCATTGAGTGAGTCACAATTTAAAAGTGTCCTATTTTTGAGACTTCACTGCTATGTGTTGGACGCAACGGCATGGCAACCACAGGTAGCAATGGCTTTGGGTGAAATAAAAAATACAAAAATAATAAGAAATGACTGTTAAAAACAAATATGAAACTGCTCAGGTTTTGAGCGAACAAACATCACAAGGACACAGAAACACACACAAGGACAGACGAACTGACGGACGAAGAGACGAACTGACGGACGGAGAGACGGAAGGACGGGAGGAGGGGGGGATGGAGGGATGGAGGGAGGAGGTCAAATCACAGAAGGAGAGGAAGTTGGTGTTAAAAAGAGAAAGGAGAGAAACAGAGTGAGAAAGAGAGGAATGGAGGGGGGGAAATGGCAAAGAGGAACCATGCGTGGTTCACCTTCAATCTGTCTAAAGGCCACGGCCTGCCCTGTGGGGCGAGAGCCCGAGTGCGTCCACTCTGGGCTGAACAATGGGTGCTCATAGTACTCCTCGTCGGAGTGGTAGGGGTCGTCCTCGGGCACGGAAACTGAGATGGAGGGGGCGAGGAACTTGCACCTCTCCCGAGAATTTTGGAAGCGGCGGAGAGGGCCCGCCTCCTCCTCATCCCCTACATCTACAAACAAGACAGACACAAGGAGAAGAACTGCAGGGAAATCTGGACACACGGACTGAAAGAGAGAGCGAAGAGGAAGAAAAGGATAGGAAAGAAGGAAAAGGAAATAGTAAACAATAAAGAAATGGAGAACACATCAAAGAATGTCCATCTTAAAGGTGATTCGATATAATATTGAGTCTCCCTGTCTAGTTTTGTTTTGAAAACACTGATAGCATCCCAACTGAACAGGGGCTTTGCAACTTTGCTAAAAAGAACTAGGGCTGTACGCGACTCAAAATTATGCCAGTCAAATCTGATTTGGCTGTTCAATACAAATATTTGACAATTCCTTTTTTTCTTATATAAAGTTTTAAAGTTTGAATGAGGCACAGTGGGATTTTCAGTGTGACAGCTACATTCGTGTAATATAGTAAACAAGCTCACTGCACTAACAACTGATTGTAAATGTGCAACATTTTTTGCTGACACTAGCTATCAAGCAAAAGCCAGAGACTGTCGAACCAGTTAGTAAACCCTGCCCCTCCTTGTGCCTCTGCAGACTCTGATGCTGACTGTGAAGACTTTTTATTGCACTTTGCTGGTAAGGTGGAGTTAATAGGACTTGGTATCACTCCCAGTACTACATTTTTGGATGCTGATTACCCGCACTGTGATTCCCTGAGCAATTTCCCCCCATTACTCTGTCTGAGCTCATAGAAATCATATATCATATGAAAGTATCCACCATGCACCTTGACATAGTTCCAACTAAGTTTTTATTTGAGGTGACTGATTGTTTTGGGCATAGTTTGCTTTCTCTGTCTACTAGTTCTGTCACAGATTACTTTAAAACTGTTTGTGTCCAACCAGTCCTTTAAAAACCTGGGCTGGATCCAATCCTCTTAGGAAATTACTGTCCATCTCTAAACTGCCTTTTATTTATAAGATTCTAGAAAAAAAGCAGTTTCAAAGCAGCTTCTTGATGCTGTGGAAAACAACAGTATATCTGAAAAGCTTGAATCTAGTTTTCATCAGTATCACAGCACTGAGACAGCCCTCCTCAAAGTCACTAATGACCTTTTAATGAATGCTGACACAGGCATGTGCTCAGTTCTTGTGCTGCTGGACTTAAGTGCAGCCTTTGACACAATTTATCATGGCATTCTCTTAGACAGACTAAGGCACTGGGTGGGTGTATCTGGCACTGCCTAAAACTGGTTCCCCACACTCTTGTCAAACAGGAAGTTTTGTGTCTCTGTTAACATGTCATCCATTTCCCATATCAAACACGGTGTGCCTCAAGGGTCAATCCTTGGTCCAATTTTGTTCTCATTATACACATTCCCCTTGGGTGATGTCATCCATCAACATGGTGTCTCTTCTCACTGTTATGCGGATGATTCACAATTGTACCTCCCTGTTAAGCGCACTGACATTAGCATGCTGAGTTCTCTGCAGGACAGCTCTATGTAAAAATTGTTATGTTTTCTCTGCAGGATTCTCCACTATTGAATCAGGCTTTCACTGAGGGGATGTGCACACGCCCCTGTATTTGTAGAACAGCAAACAGCAATGTTGTTTCTCTCTGAAATGACTTTTGATTCACCAAAGTCTCCCATCTTTGCCTGGATTTTCTAAAGCCTGAACACAGAGGAGCACAGGAGGTGCAGAACTCTAGTTTTCTCTCTGACTACATTAATTACTTTTGCTCAAAAATTATTATGGAATATTTGCCAAATGATGCCAAAATAAAACTGCCTACTCCAGCTTTAAGGGTGTTTCAGCCTTTTGCCATCGGTTGATAGGCAGAATTAAATTGTGTAAGAAATAGAAGTAAAATGTTGTTTTGTGGAAACGTAGTGACTTCACTTGGAAATGTATCTTTCTATTTTTGGCTTAGGTCTTTAATTGGAATTCATATCTATGAGACAATACTTGTTTAAACAGGGGGTCATACTCAATTATGACTTAAACTGGGGCCAGCTTTGGTCTTCAAATGTTAATTATATATTGAAATGATACAAAATCGACATCTTATTTGCTAGATAAATCCTTACTTTACTTCTTAAGATGGACATTTTTTTGCAGGGAAAAGGGAGCTTGAGGAGTAAAAAAATGACCACAACAAAAACGAAAAAGACAAATTTAAAATAGGCAACAAAAAATAGAGAGAGTCACCAGAAAGGGGAATGCAAGAAGGAGACAAAACTTGATTGAGAGCAAGAGAAACACAACACACAGGACATTGACAAGGAGACAGTGACAAGCAACTCAAAGGTGACAAAGCTTTGGGGGCCAGCCATACTCTGGAACAAACAAAATTAGTACACACACTCGTTTGGCATCATTCGAAGAAGATAATATGAACTGCGTCACGTATAATTGATTTAACCTAAATAAAAGACGTACAACACAAACACTTACAACAACAATTATAAAACTGATACAGCAGCATCGTAGAAACACAATCAGCACCGTGTGTTGCCACTACACAAGCAAACCTCTGTACTTGGACAAACCTGAGGATCCAATCAAAGACACCATCTAATCCCTATTTTACAACAAAGGGTAAACCCCTGTGTAGGTTAAAAAATCAAATCTAAAAGAACATCATCTTTAAGGCAATGAGATGACTTAGTCTGTCAATACCTTCTGGTTTTGTATCCTGACCAACACCCCAAACAACTAAACCTCTTTAGCACTCTATTTGGTCAAGAACACACCAAACTGTCGCCTTCCGTAGGAAACTCATACTATACATGTCAGTCCTGACTTCTGGCTCTGTAAACAAAAACACAACGTTGCCACAACTGACCATCTGTATTTGGTGCATGGCTGACCCGCCTACAGACTCTCTCATTACATTCCAGCCAGACTGCAAACGGAGCAGACATGAAGACACAGGCCAAGCATGAAGCAGACTGATGATTTAGTTACACTGTACAACCATTTCTTGCAGGCAGCTGCACCAAAATCTCACTGCGTTGCTTAAACTACAATTCAAAGTCAAAGAAAAAGAATCAAAACGTATCAAAATGCTAATGGGAAGAACAAATTCTGTTATAAAATTGAAGCATAGCACCTCCTAAATTAAGGTAAAAAGTATTTTCAGCCATTTATAAGCATTGCTTAGCTATATGCTAGCATGCCTAGTTTGAAACTAACTAGCTTACCAAGATAATCCAGTTCACCTGCATTGCATTTATATAGTTCATGGAGGCTTTATTATTTTGGTTCATTTTTACACCTTACTTTTGTTACTAAGGTTCATCTGAGGCTTTTACTGTGGTCTTTGGCTATAGCTTGAGGGCAGCAATGTCTTCAAGTAATGTTTATAGAGCTAAAACTCTTACCTGTAGCCATAGCCACATACACAAAAAAATCAAAAAATAAAACACTGTACAAAAAAAGACTGACAGAGAACAATCACAAAAACACCATGATCAGACATGCAAAACAAAAGACATAACTCAACCAATCACACAAACAACAGGAAGTTGGAAGGTTACCTAAATTGGCTGTCAAATTAGTGTGTGGGAAGACAGCGAGGTGTGGATGTTAGAAAGGGAAATGGAAGAAGAGGATGATAACAAAAGAGTGCACTTATAACGAGTTGTTCATGCATGTGAGTGCTTCTTTATTTTAGAGATAAATGGTGATGAAGAAGAAGATACATGTCGTATCTGTTCCACGTGTACGATGAGGAGGAAGCAGGATTTAAGAAGAAATGGATGTGTGAAAAATGGAGAACATGTTCCTGCTTTTAGTAACTCTGGTATGTACATGTTTCTTGAAAGGGTACCAATGTGTGGTTTGTCCCCTGTAGGTGGGGGATGTCCTGAGAGGGGGTGGGGGGATTAAAGAGTAGCCCCGGAGCCAACCAACATCAGTACCCTAATGAGGTTGCGACCACAGAACTCCAGGGCTTCAGTCATGGAAAAGAAGGAAACCACAATCTCCTCCATTAGAGACATACTCTCATAAAAACACTTATCGCGTTCTTGGCCTACCTTGTTCCAGAGGACCAAAGTGCTCTGCAGCAGGTGAGGGGGGAGGAGAGGGAGGCAAATTTGTAGTGTCTTCAACTATAAAGAGAGACGGAGGAAGAAGAAGATACAGTATAGTTATATAAATCACATATTGTAAAGGACTCTGAGCATCCGTGGCTGTTCAATTGTATATAATCAATAGCTATACAGGTAAGTGCTAGACCAGCACTGAAGAAACAGTACAATCATCAAGCTGAAGATAAATGATGACAACTCAGCCAGGGGCGGACTGGGACTAAAAAACAGCCCTGGACTTTGACTCGGCCCAGCCCACAACAACCGGTGCGCATACGGTATTGCGCTTCCTTCTTCTTCAATTTGATTGGCGGCCGGCCGGCTCATAGATATCTATGGGCCAGCTGGCATCCAATTTAAAGGCTGCCACCTAGCAGACTGGACGTGGAACAGTAGATTATCAGGGAGGAAAAAAAACAAACAAACAAAAAAAAAAAAACGGTGATGACTGCGTGGCGGCCGCCGGCCGTCCTGGAGTACCGGCCGTTCTATGGTTCTCCAGAACTTCCAGATGGCCAGTCCACCCCTGAACTCAGCCTCTGCAACTCTGTCATGCTGGCTATCAGCTACCAGTGACTTGAATTGTTGGACTCCCAATGGACAGTTAAGAAAAAAAAAACAAAAAAAAAAAACAACTGATGCAGCAGAATCGGAGATATCATCTTTTTTAATCCACAAGCTCTCCATTGTTATCAAGCATACATTACTCACAATTAAGGGTGTAACAATACAAGTATTTGTTTTGAACTCTTAGGTACGAGGCTTTCGGTTCAGTATGCTTTACAAACCAAATGATTTGTTGAATGCTGGGAGGCACGCTACGCTAAGCTAGCTTGCAAGATGGTTAGAAATGCCTGTAATGCCATTACTAGACCAGGGATAGAGGATCCTCCAATAACCTACAGGCCTGGCGAGCCACTTTGGTTTCACTTGGAATCATGAGGGCGATGGCAAGGGAGTGGTGGATAAAAAAACAATGGTGTATCAAATCTGCTACACAACAATAAGTTACATCAGTGGGAATACTTCAGGCACGTCAACTTATATCACCCAAGCGTGTCAATCAGTGGATTGAGACAAAAACAAGGACCAACACAAGCTTCAAGCTAAGGTTCTCCCCACAGCAGTAAGTCAGCCATATCTAATTGTAGTAGGAAATGTGGGGTTTAAGAACATGTTTAATGTATTTTAAACCAGACTGTAATTACTGCTTTGTATAAAAAACTAAACTAAATTGAAATAAACTAAAATAAACTAAAATAGAATAGAATAAAATACATTAAAATTAAAATTAAAACTGAAAATAAAATAAAATTAAAATAAAATAAAACAAAATAAGATGAAAAAAAAATAGTTTCTGTCCTTTACTCCATTCTTAATTATTTAACTTTTTCGTCTTTTTACCGTTTTTTTTATTTTTATTTTTTAATTTATTGCTGTTTATAATTTCTGATAGACATTGCTGCCTCTAATTTGTTTTTATGGACTTTTTTTCATCACTTTATTGCAATCATATATTTGTATCCTTCTAGCCCAATGAATGTTACCTAAGGGCATTGCTGTAAAGAGTTTAATGCTCAGTCAATTTTCCCTGAATAAACAATGCTTGATGATACTTATGTGCTGTTTCAAAACCATACCATACTGTGACACCAGTGTGTCGTACCAAACCAAACTGTGACTATTGTGAATTAAACCCCTACCCACGATGCTACTTGGCCACCAATAGTTAGTAGTCAAAGTTGCGGGTGTGTTACGTCAGTAGCCAAGTGTGGCAACTCCACATTCCCAGATTTGTTTTTATTTTCAAGCCTCTGACAGTCTTCAGCCCCAGAGAATGCTGACCTTAGTGACACCACTTCAGGCAATAATCACACCATAAAAGGCTTTATTTTTTTCTCACATATGCAGTAGCACTCTACAGCACCTGTAAACATACTTTGATGTGTCAAATCGGTGGAGTTCCACTTAATTCTGCCATTTGCTTTTTTTAATAAACCTATGTGAAGTGTTTTCCTTTCCTATTCCCATTTCCTCACAAAACAGCCCAAGTCTTCTTTTGCTGAGGTGAGCAAATACAGCAAAGCACATGAGTTAGCTCAGGGAGATAACTGCCACACTCAGACCTGATACTCTCCTCCCCGCAACATGTCTTTTATGCACTATTTGAGATACGGTGGTCTTTTTAAGTTGGCAATCCTCTGCAATTTTGCTGCTGCACTGCTCTACTGGACACCCTGTTGTAACACTGTCTGCAACAGAGAGTTATCATCTCTCACCATAATTTGAAAGAAAAAAAAAGGTTTTGAATGACAGGCCTGGCTTGTGTATGTGTGTGTGTGTGTGTGTATGTGTGTGCAATATTTTGTCACATCCTGTAGTTTGATTAGTGTCTTGATTTAACATTCAGGGGACAATCAATAATTTAAAGGTGCAGTGTGCAGGATTTAGTGGCGTCTTGCAGACTGCACCCTTTCCTTTCCAAGCATGTAGACAACCAACGGTGGCTTCCAGGTAATGTAAATACATGAACGAGCCTTTATAGGACCAGCGTTTGATTTGTTCCTCTGGGCTAGAGTCGAAACATGGTGGTGCAACATGGTGGATTTCACAAAAGAGGACCCTGTTCCCTATGTGGATATAAAGGGCTCATTCTAAGCTAAGAAAAACATAACACTTCTTAGTTTTAGGTGATAATACATGCGTCCATTTCTGCCAATAGATCCCTCCTCTACACACTGCACCTTTAAATAGAGAAAAGTATTGGTGTTACGATTTCCTCCCACCCATGCAGGTTAGGTGTACTGATGACTGGTGACCTATCCAGCATGTACCCTGCCAGTGCCAAGCTGGGATAGGCACTGGATGGAAGAAGGAGCACAGCACTTGTACAAGTGTGTGTTCATCTGTGGATGTGGCTTACCTGATGGCAGCCTCTGAGTCTCCTGCTCTCCCTTCAGTACCGCCACTGCCTCTGCTGTCACTTCCTGCACGATCCGCGCTGACACTTGCTCTGAAAACAAACACACAGACACACACACAAGGTCATTCAGACAAAATGTCCTCAGTTTTAAAGTTGAAAGAATTACTTAATCTAAGGACTGGCTCGAAAGAAAAATGCAGAAAATCCCCAGCTGCTCCAGTACATCAGGGCACTGTGGTTGTACTGGGCAGCTGCCAGGTTTCAATCTGTGAAATAACTAAGTGAGAGTAATAAGAAGCAGGATGTTAATAAGGACAGCATGACGCTAAGTTCACTTAAATGGGATATATATCAATGTTAAACACATAAAATACCCCCCCCCCCCCTTTCTTTCAGCCATTTCATTTCATTGTATTTTTGAATCATGTCATCAAAACCTGTGATGAAACCCACTGTGAGGGAGCTGAAATTGTTACCATAACTGCAGGGAAGCTAGAGCTGCTAGTGAAGGCTGTGGGTGTCGCTATGGAAACCCAGTATCCCTTTACAAGTGCAGACTAAAAATGAAACTGGGATTATATAGCTACCACCAAACAAGATTTATACACTTTATTTCATACTGAAACCATCCACTCTGGGCTGAATCCAACTGTATCAGCATTTTTTCTCGAGATGTTGTTCGGCATGTGGAGACAAAGACAGAGAGTGCACGGAGAGACAGAGGCTACAACATGCAACAAAGGTCCCCGGCCCAAATTGAACCATGGAAGTTAGTGTGAGAGAGAGTGGGGATGTTTGATGCTGGTGAATATTTTCAGCTGGTTGAGTGACTGCTGCGGCGGACTGTGAACAGCAGGACTGCAGATACAATTCTCCCTCTTTTATCTGTTCAAGGTGACAGTGAAACGCAGTTTCGGCTCGCAGACATTCATGAGATTCAATAGTGAATTCAGTCTTTTACAAGGAAATTGACGGAATATGAGATTTGCACTCTTCATGACAATACTGGTGTCAACACTCAGGAAGAATCTGTCAACACTGTCTGGCTGTCTGACGCTGGTGAGCAGCAGGAGATAAATGAGGACAGTACAGTAGGAGAAGGCTCAAGCTGATACCTACCAAGAGAAAAGAGTGAGTGAATTTAAAGTAGGAGCTAAATCTGTGACAGTGATTTATGCATGTGTTTTCATGTACAAATCTTTTGTATAAGCTTTGCCCCAAATCAGATGCCAAACAAGGACAATTTACTAAACTATAATTTCATCTTACATCTGTATGCCTGCATGCATTAGTTTGATTGAAGGGGGGCGCTGCAGAGTTCTAATCAAACCAGCCTTCATTTGCATATTAACAGTGATTATGTGGGATTGGGTGGCAGTGTGATGCTTTTACCGCTGCTGTTTCAGGACCTTTCTCTATCTAACATCGCCCACACATCAACACAAACAAGCTGGCAGCCATACACACATGCAATTACACACACGCACACACACACTCCTTCCGGGAACACTTAACACAGCCCACTCACTAACTCAAAGCAGCCATTTCCCATTTTCAATAGCAAAGTACAATGTACGTGTACCACCTTATTCACTGCTTCCAGGCAAAAACCCTTTCTTCCAGTACTGGAAAATAGAGCTGAAAGGCAAAAACGTCAAATGCAATCATTGGCTGTGACATCAAATAACTAAAAACAGCCCCTGAAGCTTAGACCTGGGGTCAAATAACCCTGCAGATTTGTGTTAATAGATCCATTTTGTGAGTCAGACGACACCTCCAGAGTGCATGGGGCTGAGGACAAAATGTTAGTGCTTTTCTGCTATCCATGGGTACATGGGATCAGTTTCAAGTTCTTTTCATGGTTTAGACAGAGTCCTAAAACCTAGAAATGACTGTTTTTTTAAAAAACGAATGGACAAAAATCCCAGTATTCTCTAGGTGTATTCATGCAATAGTGTCCATGGCAAGCCTCAAAGCAAGATGAAAAACATACAGAAGCTAATATAAAACTTGAAAAGAATACCATAAAACTTCAATTAGTAGCCCGGGCTATTATTTGCTTAAATAACCGAAGTCAACAGGCTTATATTTGGGACAAGCGTCTGTGGCGACAGGCCTTTAATTCCTTTCATGCAAAACTGTTGCTCAGCAAAGACAGGAAATACAATCACATTTTTTATTTAAACCAGTATGAATGTTACTTATAAAAACAACATATCAATTACAAATCATTCATTTAATCTAAGTTTGGATAGATAAGGCAACAGAGAGAGAGCATTTGATAAACATTTTTACAGCACCCGACATACCAACTCAACACCACTTCATCCTGTTAAAACAATATTAACATCAGTGGACCCTTACACACTAAAGGAATATGAATATACCTGGTTTTATACATCCGTAGAACTTCTATAAAAATTAACTGCTTGGCAACCAGACCAGGGTTCTAATTGAGACAGGCCTTTATTTGTCAAAATGTGTAGCCACGCCGGGCTAGTAAAAGGGACTGGCCGTTTAATTGGGACTAGGCTTTTAATTGAAGTTTTACAGTAGTGGAAGCAAAGCTACATTATGCAGTTGAAACAAATCACATTACACTGCTGACCATTTGCAGGTAAGGAGGTTCAATATAGGTGGTGGTGAACAAGGTCCTGCTACCCAGTGCACACTTATAAAAACAGAAAATGGGAAATGGGAGGAAATGGGCTGATGCCATTTCAGGAGGAGTTGTGCTGTATGTGCACATGCTCTAGGGTTTGTTGTTGAAATTACTTTTACCTTCTGGAGATTCCTTTCACATTCTTTGACTCAATACAAAAGAGAGACATATATGACTCACAATGGATCTTTGTATTTTTCTTTTATACATTTTAAGACTCAAGATGGATTTTGGTGAGAGACAAAAAATGTGGCTAGTCTGTAAGTAATCCTGACTCATCGTGTTGTAAAAAGGGCATTTTCTCTTTGTTTTCTTGAGGTGACAGACTGTCTGACTCCTATATCCAGTTAGGATTGTGAGCAATGTGTTTGGAATTTTAATATTATTTCCACGTGAATCACACTTCTTTCCATGGTTAGTTTTTTGATGGTTGGTGACACTGAAGAAATGCAACATTGGGCAGATAATCTTCCTCAAAAATTAGTCTGTTGTGATAATATACATTTATTCAAGTTTAAAACTGACAAGTAATGCTTAAAAGACTAAAACATAAATTAAATACATAAAATCCTAGCTGGACTACTCCATTGTTATTCTCAAAAGGCTTCATGCATATGTTACGGGAGGATAAAAACAAAATGCAGTCTCACTTCCAGACACACATTTAAAAGCAACAATGAGGGCACAGGGTTCATTGACGCATTATGGATGAATAGATTCACAGAAATGCACATTCACAAAGCCATAGCACTGTAAAAAATGACCTTGTCACATCCACAAAGCTAGCTGGCAGTGATGAAAGCCTGGTCTGGTTGTCTCAGCATTTCTCTGACAGAGTGATGTCAAATGACATAGGAGCCTCGACATGAAAATAGCCCACATACATGTACACAAAGAGCTGCTCGAATATACAGAAAATGCTGCATCACACCTGCATCTACATCCATAATCAACAATAACAGACACAGACACACTCTCCTAATGAAGCAAAAGCATGTTTTACCTGTGTGACAGGCAGACTGAGGCTGAGAACGCTCCCTCTCTGAGCTGAGACTACGACTGGAAGCCCCGAGTCAATGCAACACACGGCCAGGAAGACGCACACACACACACATTTACACACACAGCGGGACTGAGAGGGCACGGAGAGAGCAGGAGTGCTGTTTGGTACGACACCAGCCGGCACCCAAAGTGTGTAAAGCCAGCGGTTGCCATAGCAACAGACTGGTGGGCCACTGATTTGGGTCCCAATGTAATTCAGATGCCAGCAACATGCCGTAGTCGATTCAGCCACTCTGTCTGCAGCCTCCAGTATAAAGGAAATGGTGGCTGTGACGTGGCCAAACATTACAACCAATATTTTCCTGATTCTTGTTATAAATCAGAGTGAATTAAAAGAGATTTTTGCCTACTAAAAATATCTCAACATTTTGCATTTCTGTATTTCAAACACTATCACATTAAACCACAAAGAGGACAACAATGTATATCATTATTGATTTTTCATCAGTGAAAATACAATAAATCAAAAAGAACATGACCGCAGGATGTCACTTGACAGGACAACATTTTAAAGAAAAAAGTTGCATGCATTCATTTTCTTTCAATATTAATTACTTCTCACAATTAAGAGATCTGCAAGATGGAAACGACAAAGCTGTCATTGTACAGTGCTATCAAGTTGGCCATAGCACCCATCTTTGCAAGGCTCAGATGAATTAGCTCCCCTGCAGCAGCACATTGACCTGTGATGATCTTCAGTCTGACAGCCAGCTTTCACTGTTTCAAGGTCAGACATCTGGTTATGAAATAGTGGTCGTACACACTCCGCCTCCACTAAGAAGAAGGATTTCTCAATAGATTTCAGAAACAGAGATGGCAAAAGAAACAGATGCATCATGACTCATGAAAACCTTACTGTGACAGAGTGAGTATTGTTCCATGACTACAAGGTTTAAACACAGATTTCATTTGTATTGTTTCTGCTGAAGGAACAATGCCCTGATACGACAAATCAAGTACTTTCAACTCTACTGTCTGTAGCAGATTCCCAGAGCTTTCTAGAACATTTTTTTAGTTTTAAGGCTGTTAGTCTCATATAAAATCTTTTATGGTGGGACTGAAAGATGAGGCTGGAACCGCTGGCCAGTCTCTCTAATTAAAAAGCTGCAACTGATCACATAATCGATGCCTGTGTGTCTGCTTTACTCAAAAACAACTTCCTCCGCCCCATTCTTGTGGCCACTTTCTCAGACATGACTCGTGATAAAACTTATACTCTTGTCATTTTGATGATTAAGAAAATAACTTGATGAGCCTCAGCTGTTCTCCTTGAATATTCAAAATTGAATTATTACACAAATCTGATATCAGAGAAGTCTTTTGCACAGCATGTACAGAATAATTATTTCAGCCTCATGCAGTGTCT